GAAAAAATGAAAAACAATTCACGAAAACAATAAAGAAGAAACAAACACAAAAGAAAGATACAACCAACTATAACGCAAAGATATATGTTGTTTGACAACATGCCTACGTCCAGGGGAGATGATAGCTTCTTTACTGACAATAGAGAATAATATTACAATAGTTGTCTTCCTCATGCCTCTCTAGAGATCTGCATTTTTCCTTTAACTCTAAAAAAAACCATCACAACAATATATATCGAGTCCGAGATAGATAGTACAAATTACCGAAATACATCATGTACAAATATATATCGAATCCCAGATATGTCGAATCTCATGTACGAATATACGAAATTTTCGTTGGGGGCTACCACCCTCAAAAACCCGCAAGGGCCAAGTCAACGGAGTCTACCTAGCCAGACACTCTTTCGGCCCTTTGAGCTTTTAACGGCTCTCCGGGGTCATCCTTTTGACTCCACCTTAGCAAATCTATTTTCTCAAAATAGAAGACATCAATCATCAACAGATCCTTTGGGGTCCTACATACATGGGTATGGGAGGGTCTCATAGGATCATTATTCTCTCTCTCTCTCTCTCTATATATATATATATATATATATATATAATAAAGCCATATTTCTCTCAGGAAGTTGCTTTGCATTCTTGGTTACTTACATTTCTTTCTTCTTCTTTTTTGTACGTTTTGATTAATAATTTACATTTTTTTTTGGCTACTAATGTATTATTTACTCATGTAAATATAATCATTAAAGTTTTATTGAAAATGAAAAAAAAAGGAATAGAAATATTCCTTAAAATATTAATTTTTCTTTCAACTAATTGTAATTTCTAAAATCATGTCCCCAAAACTTCAAGATACGATTATATTTATATTTATATTTATAACATTTTGATGTTAAACATAATTTTCATTAAATATAAGAGTTAACAAAAGAAAATTTGTTCGTTCATTATTTATTTTTAGGTATTATGTCACTTATTAAACAAATCTTATAAATAAAATTTTGTTTACATTAATAAATATAATTCCTATAAATGTTACTAAAGATTATTAATTTTGTATAATCCCTTAGCAAATTTATTTTATTCTAAAATTAGAATAATTATTATTTATTATTATCACTTGTATATAGTTATTTTTTATTAGTATAACTCGTTAATATTTGATCATTGTTCTAATTACTTTTTGTTGTTATAATATTCATTATAAGTTACAGTTACAATTACAATAATAATATTGTTAATGATGTATATGGTGTTATAATTTTTAATATTATAATGGTTACATCTAGAAATAATTATTATAATTGAAATCATTAAATCTAAACCTTTTAGTATTACTAATTAATATTACATAGAGGGAGAGAGAGAGAGAGAGAGAATGCATTAGGAGGGAGATGGCCTGCAATGTTTTGTTGGGCATGCGGGGGTGGGGGGGGGTTAGGAGATGTGCCTTCATTAATTTATAAGAGATATAGATGTGAGTGAATCTATTGAGAATGGCAGAATCCGTAGAGAGAGGGCGTATGGAGGGAGAGAGTACTTTAATATAAGAGAGATTATTAATTTATAAGAGATATAGCTGAGAGTGAATCTATTGAGAATGGCAGAATCCGTAAAGAGAGGGTGTATGGAGGGAGAGAGAGTACTTTAATAAGAGAGATAAAAATGAGAATAAATCTAGGAAAAATTATAAATAACTCTTAAGACTAGACTTTCTATACAAATTACCTCCAACCAAATATTTTTTTCTCACTTTTTATCCCAAAATATACTTTCTTAGCAAATACTCCCAATCTCAAATAAAATAAAGTCTAAACTACCCTCCTTTACTTTTACCCATGCCTCCCTTTCCTCTTTCCCACGAAAAGGCGGTCCGGCCTATTCTTAGGCGGTCCGGCAGTGTAATGTCGGTTCCGTAAATAACATTGGTGGTTCCGCAGTACAAGTGGAGGTCCCGCACTGACAAAGTACGGTCCGACAATAGGGCCATGCGATCTGGCACTGCCAAAGAGCGGTCTGGCAATAGGCCCATGCGATCCGGCAACAAGCCCAAAGTGCGATCTGGCAATGTCAAAGAGCGGTCCAGTAGCCCATGTAAGCCCACGTGAATGTCCGGCCAAAATTAAATTTTTATGTACGAAAAAGGGTATTTTTGTCAAAAAAATGTACTTTTTTTATTTGTGGGGTATTTGCTAGAAAAGTACATTTTGGAAAAAAAAAAAGTGAGAAAAAAACCTAGTTGGGGATAACTTGCATAGAAAGTCTTATCATGGGAGTTATTTGTAATTTCCCAAGAATCTATTGAGGATAGAAAAAGAGTAAATATGGATATAACTATTAGAAAGTAATAAATATATGAGATCGTGAAGGTCAAAATTGGAAGGGTGCAGTTGGCATACGGATGCATCCTTAGGTGTAGAGGTAAGGTGGACCTTCAAATTTTATCATGGTATATAATTTTGATGTAAAATGTTATTAGGATTATCTCAAAATCTGGTTTTATATCTAATTAAAAAAATTTAAATTTAAACAATGGTTAAAATCAAGTAGATATATAAACATATGAAAATCTTGAAAATGGACGGTGTAGATAATATGTTGTAAAATGCACTATTTTTTGGACTTAAAATCTTTTTATTTTTCATAGTCATACATCTCGATGTCGAGATGATTAATGAAGGGGTTTTTCAACATTAAAACTACATTTTCCAATGGATTTTTGAGGGGCATCGGTAGTTCTACATTATAAAGAACCATCCTTATACAAACTTTTTCAAAATTGGAATAATAAAAGGTTTAAAGGATAAAAATAGACTACAAAAAGACGATTGACATGAGAATAAGGAGGTCCTGCTCTCGCTTTATATATAATAAAAATAGATAGATAATTACGAACTATTGCTTGGCCAGTTCTCTCTATGTGTGTAGGTACATCACTCCCAAAGGAATTGTGGACAAAGAAATTAAGGTACACATAAAGAAACAAGCAATATCATTTCATAAAAAATGCAGTGAGAATAAAGGCTTAATTGGGTTTGAAAACTCCTGGCCGGTTGAATGACCCTTTTAGATAATCCCTGGTTTGCTTAAGAGGTATGTTGGGTATTTTGCTAGGGCTCACTTGGGGTTAAGGTTTGGTTGAAAATTAACTATGGTTAATAGATTTGGGTTAGGGTTTTTCTCAAGAAACTCCAAACCAAGTAAATG